GCCTCAGAAACCACCTCTGCAAAGGGATCAGAACTTAATTGAAGTGCATGGCGAAGCAATTTAATGCCCCAGTGCACTAACGGAAACAATAGAGCAATCAACCAGCAAGTAAAGGAGCCTGACAACTGGGGGTGAAACCAACAGAGGTAGATAGCTTAACAGAGAAACCGGGGAAAGAGACAAATAGAGTCCTGATAAAACCACTGTCATCCATGGATGACTCTGGGTTTATCAAGGCTGCATCCTCCAAGCAGTGACATCAGGTGCTGTACACTGTGGGAGAAAATAGATTTTGTTAAAATAGTTCAACCAAGTCATTAAAATATTAAAAATCAAACAACAACAAATCCTGGGGCTGGGGGTAAGAAATCAAGATCCAGAGTTGCTACAACACATTGTTCAAACTGTCCAGTAAAAAAAAAAAAAAAAAAAAAAACTGGGTAGGAATTTATGAGACACGAAAAGAAGCAAGAAAGTGTAAACCATACACAACAAATAAATGTAGTCAACAAAATGCCTTGAGAGAGCTCAGATTTTAGAGTTAGCAAACATAATTTAGGCAGTAATAATATGTTCAAAGACCTACAGAAAACCATGCTTAAAGATATTAAGGTAGGTATAATGACAATGTCTCAATAAATAGAGAATATCAACAAATAGATACAAACTATGAATTGAATGGAATAAATATTAGAGAGAAGAAAGAATCAGCAAACTTCAAGATAGATCAGTAGAGATTATACAGTCTAAAAAAGAGAGAAAACAGAAATAATGGTTGAAAACTCCCTAAATTTGATGAGAAATATTAATCTACATATTCAAGAAACTCAACAAATTCTAAGTAGAATAAGCCCAAGGATATCTGCATCCAGACATATCATAGTTAAAGGGTTAAATGCCAAAAACAAAAGTAAATTTTGGAAATAACAAGATCAACATGATTTGTCACATATAAAGGAACCTCAGTAAGATTAACAGCTGATTTCTCAGACACATTGTAATCCAGAAGGCAGTAGGAGGACATATTCAAAGTACTGAAAGAAAAAAATATATATATTTGCATATGTATATAATTGTATTTTTGAGCCTACAGCATTTAGAAATGTAATATATTTGGCAATAAGAGCATAAAGGAGGCAGGTGGGAGCAAACCTATATTATGGTAAGGTAATGATACCAGGTAGTGACTCAATCCGTAGGAATAAATAAATAGAATCAGAAATGATAAATAAGAAGGTTAATATAACAAACCCTATAAGATAAATATTTTCTCTTCCTTCTCTCAGCTCCTTTAAAAAATACAAAATTAAACAAAGTAATATAACAATGTATTTTTGGGTTTGTAACACATGTAGACATAACAACAACAGCACAAATTGGGTGAGGGTGGAAGAAAGAATAGCACTGTATAGGAATAACCTTTTTATCTCTAGCTGGAATTAAATAGTATAAATCTGAAGTATATTCTGAAAAGTTAGGGACTATATGGAAAGCCCTAGAGCAACTCCCAAGAAGATACCTTTAAAAATATGGAAAAATCATAAAAATAATTAAAAAATACCTACTTACTGCAAAAGAAAGCAGTAGAGGAATAGAGGAACAACAACAACAAAAAAACAGGAAGTAAAATGACATAAAAATCCAACTATATATCAATAATAACATTGAATATGATTAGATTAAAATACAATAAAAAGGCAGACACTGCCAGATTAAAAATAAGGATTCAACTATATATTATCTATAGGAGACATACTTTAGATTTAAATACACAAACAAGTTGAAAGTAAAAGAATGAAAAAAGATATACTATGCAAATGATTATGAACAACAAAGAATAGAACACTTGAACATCTATAAAACAACATGACCAAACAGATATCTATAGAATGTTCCTTGCAACAATAGCAGAATACACTTATTTCTCAAGAGCAAATGGAACAGTCTCCAGGATAAACTATATATTAGGCCATAAAACAAGCTTTAATAAATTTGGAATTATAGAAATCATACAATGTATGTTCTCCAAACATAATGGAATTAGAAATCGATAAGAGAAAAAATAATGGGAAATTCACAAATATGTAGAAATTAAATAACACACCTATTAACAACCAAGAAATTACAAGGAAAATTAGCCAATGCTTTGAGATGAATGAAAATGAGGAAACAGCATACTAAAACTCATGGGATGCAAGTAAAATAGTACACAGAAGAAACTTTATAGTTGTAATGCCTATATTTAAAAATATGGTCTCAAATTAATAACCTAATTTTATACTTTAAGACACTGGAAAAAGAGCAAAGTAAACCTAAAACAAACAGAAGGAAGAAAATAATAAAGATTAAAGCAGAAATTAATGAAATAGAGAGTAGAAACCTATGTCCATCCTCTGATGAGTGGATAAATTTGTTGTATATCTGTACAATGGAATATTATTTGGCTAAAAAAGGAATGCAGAATTGTTACAGGTGACAGCATGGCTAAAGCTTGAAAACCCTATGGTAAGTGGAAGATGACATGTACAAAAGACCACACACATATTGTATGATTCCACTTACATGAAGTATCTAGAATAGGCAAATCCATAGAAACAAAGAATATTAGTGATTGTGTAGGACTAGGGGTATTTGGAAGACATGAGGAGTAATCGCTAATGGGAATGGGTTTCTTCTTTGGAGTGTTCAAATATCCTAAAATTGATTATGGCAATGGTTGTACAACTCTGTGAAAATACTAAAAACTACTGAATTGTATATTCATATGGGTAAATTGTATGGTGTACGAATTACATCTCAATGAACCTCTAAAAATGTGACTCTAAAATTTACTCTTTTGAATGTTCAGTGAAGCTTCTCTTTGCAACTAATGACAAGTCTTGGGAATACATATTGAGAATAGCTAAAAAGCTTTATTTAAAGCCATGTTTTTCCTTTAGAGTTTTTACTAGCACTCTCCTTCCATGATGTCAAGAGACTTTCCCTTTGAGAGTTATATATTCTTTAACAATAGTCCAGAAGTGGAAGAAGCAAAATTTTTCAACAAAAATTCTTAACTACTACCATACTCTAGTATGCATTTGAATTTAGAATGTTCCAACATGGACCCCAATAGCACTTTTTCTAATACCTTGTGTATTCATTTTCTGTTACTGTTGTAACAAATTACTGGCAACCAAGTGGTTTCAACAACTCATTTGTCATTCTTGTAGTTCTGTAGTTTAGAAATTCCATGCAGACATCTCTGGATTAAAATTAAGTTGTCTCCAAGGCAGCATTTCTTCTGAAGACTCTGGGAAAGAATCTGTTCCCTTGCCTTTTCCAATTTCTAGAGGCTTTCTGTATTCCATGGTTCATATCCTCCTTCCTCCATCTTCAAAATCAGCAATCAAAGTCAAGTCCTCCTGACATTGCATTACTTGACATAGCTTCCATCGTCACATCTCTTTCCTGGCTCTCTTCCTCTGCATCTCTCTTCCATTTGTAAAGACTTTTTTGATTACCTTGGGCCCACCTGGATAGGGCCCACCTGGATAATTCAGAACAAATAAACTGCCAATTTTAAGGTCAGGTGATTATGTCTTAATTCCACCTGCAGCCTTAAATCTTCTTTCCCATTTAACCTAATACATACTTAGGTTCTGGGGATTAGGACATGGACATCCTTAGGAGGCCATTATTCTGCCTACCACATCATGATTTTCTCCTTGTAGAAATGTGTATAAATTAAGGTAATGGATAAAGCCCTATGGGTTTGGGGTAGTTTGGTTAATCAATAAAGGAGGATTTCTCTTTTGGCCAGTGTGCTATAGTAAATTCTGGCATGAGTGAAGGGTAGGCCTTTATCTTATAAAGTGGAGAGAAGACTATTGTGAACTCAAGCCTGTTCTTAGGCTAACCAATTTTAGGGGGAAAATAAATGTGGAAATTGAGGATCTGGAATAGGATTCATTGGTTTCAAATTATTGGGATGGCACACCTAAAGATTTCCTATAACCCAGGACCCTAGTTGGATGATAATTCACTTGGGGCAGTAGTTTCCAAACGGGGCTGATTTCATAATTACCTGAGACTTTTAAAAAATGGAATCAGATTTTCAGGGTTTAATCTAGATCTGCTAAATCAGAAGTTCAGAAACCAGAGACCCAAAAGATGTTTTGAATTTCTTTTTTTTTAAGATTTTATTTATTTATTTATTTGAGAAAGAGTGAGAGCACGAGGTGGGGGGTGGGGGGGGGCTCCCTCAGCAGGGAACCCAACACAGGGCTCGATCCCAGGACTTGGGGATCAAGACCTGAGCCGGAGGCAGATGCTTAACTTACTGAGCTACCAGGTGCCCCTGTTTTGAATAATTTCTTTAGTTGATTTTGATAACTAGCCAAATTTGGTAACTACTCACTTAGAAAACAAAGGGGATTGAATTAGTGATAATAGAAGATTCATGTGTTCACTAACTTTTTCTATTAACTGCTTGTTAGTTTTGAAAGTTACAGGACATTTAAATGTGACCTAGAACTTTGGACAGTCTGACCAATGTGAGGCAAAACAGAAATCTGAACGTATCATTCTTTCTCACTTCCAAGTAATCATGCAGCCACAGATATTGGATTTTTTCCTCTTTTGGCATATATACTCTGCCATTATAAGCTATGCCTTATTTGAATTTGTCTTTGTTAATTTATTGTAAATTGATTAAGTTATTCTTATTCCATAGATACAATCAATGTAAGAATACATTAATATTTATGGTCACTTTGCATTTACCTAAATTGTGATATACCAAGTCATGGTCATAATTCCTATAAAATCTATGAATTAGCCTATTTTCTGCACCTTACAGACAAAATGTTGATATTTTTTACTAGTTTAATAACCTTTCCAGAAATAAGATGAGATATCTTTTAATAAAATATGCAGTAAATTAGGACGACACTGTTGCACTTTGAACATGCATATAATATATATCTTAAAAAGACTGAAATATTGCATTTCCTCTGTAGATATCACACCACAGAAAGAAACTCAGGAAGGAATTCCACCCCCGACCCAGAGTCAGGAACCCCTGAAACCTCAGGAGAATATATCACGACCCATTCACCATCCTTTAGTTTTAAAAACTAACTTTGAGGAAGAAGAGGAGGAAGGAGATGAACAAAATGGTTAGTAAGGCTTTTCTCAGATTTACAATGCACATTCAAAAACCGTACCATTTTTTTTTACATATTTTTTAACTGTGAGAGGTTTATAAGGTAATATATTATGTTTAGGCAGATTTTGGTAAGAAAATAGCTTGAATTTTATTAATATATTCAATTCATTATGTTCTAATTTGTTCTATGTCTATACATGCTTATGAACATTTGGATTGGAGGGTTTTTGTTGTATGATGGCTGAGTGATAGATCTCATTTAAATATGTACAGTTGCTTAAACTGATTTTTCTAATACATGAAATATAGCAATTTGAGACATTTATCATTATGCAAATTATTGATTTTAAAAATAAAAAAATATCCATGAGAACAATGTCTGGAATTTTTCATTCTGATTTATTATATATTTTCATATTATTTGGCTTTTGACAATTTAATTTAAAAAAATATATCCTGTAGATGCTTCTAGTTTATGGACAAAGACTCCTGAAGAAATTGAAGAAAAAAGAGCAATAAAGGAGATGTGTTATAAATCTGGTAAGAAATCAAACATTTGTGGATTTTCTAATGCTTGATGTGACAAATATACTAACCTCTACTCTTCTAATGGGAGATTAGGTGAATACTACAGATTTCATACTCCTCCAGATATTTCATCATCAAAAAGCATAGCCTCTACAGCAGACAAAGAGTTAGAAAAGCCTTTGGAAAATGGCAGTGAATTGCAAGAAGGTAAGGAATGAAAAGGCAGCATTTCAAGGTGATGTATAAGAGATACTTGGTGTGATAGTCTGTGAATTATTTAGTAAGATTTACACTAGAGTTAAATGATAAATAATACATCAGAATTTAGAGTGAGGAGGAAGTGCTTTTATCAGATGACCTATATTTAATATGAAAAGATGCTATTAATGTAATTATACTTTCCCAGTGGAGCTACAGAATGAATGGTCTTCATAAGTGCGTGGCAGCACTACTCCCCCAATGCAGTAATTCTGTAAATAACTTGCTTTTACCATTTATTTTTCTTTGCAAAGAAATCTCCCTGTGAAATAGGTGCATATTTTTCTCTGTGAGTAGAAAGAACAACCTAGCCCTAGAAGGACAAAAGGGAGATCACAGAATGACGTTAGTGGCAGAACAAGGATACATTTGTTCATTGAATGAGTGCCTTTTGTGTACCAGGCAATTTCAGAAGCAGTGCAGGTGGATTATTGCAAGGCTGGGCCTTTCATGAGTCTTATGTTTTGGTGAATCTTATCTTAATGTTGGTAAACATTTTGCCCTTGAAGGCAAGATAAGAACATTATTTTCTGGATATAAAACCAGAAACTCAGAGAAAATCCATGGGTGCCATGAGTTTATATAGTTGTCTTGCCACTAGGATGAGATGAAAAGTTTTGCTGCGGTAGAAGATTTGAATCCTGTCCTCTCCCTAAAAATAAAAAATGATAGTTGGGAAAATCTCCCAACATCAAGATGAGGGTAGGATAATGTAGAGGATCGAGAGTAAAATACTTGCTTTTCAAGTACATACGTGGCAAACTATTTAAACATATGGCGGTAGGTGGCAGCAACATACCATTAGATGTTAGAATGATTGTCAAGACAGCTGATAGGTGGGCACCCCATCTAGAGAAGGGCACATTGCCTGCATTACCTAGACAAGGAAAAAAGAAAACAAAATAAGTTAGCAATGAATATAAAAAGGGTAGATTAGAAAGATAATTACATGTACTTTCACTTTATATTATGGTTTTAAAAGCCTTTTATTTTTAAATAATTTCAGGTAATTCATGAATAGCCTTCACCAGATTTCCCCAAATGTTAGTATTTTACACATTTGATTTTTCACTCTTTCTTTCCCTAAATATACACATTGTGATTTTTTTCTAAACCATTTGTGCAAGAGTAAGTTGCAGATATGATGCCCCTATATAACTCTTACATAACTTTGGTATAAATATCAAAATCAGGAAATTACCACTGATACCATATCATTTACAGAATTTTTAAAATAAATTTCACCAGCTGTACCATCAATGTCCTTTATAGCCAAATGAACTTTTTTCCTGATTTAGAATCCAATCCAGAATCATATGGTGCATAAGATTATCATGTCTCTCTTATTCTGCTTTTAATAGTTTATTCTAGAGATGTATAAGAAAAGTGCTAAGAATTATTTATCACAGTATAATTACCATTTGTCAGTGGTAGACTCTAATACTTTTCACTCAATTTGTTCATGATAAGTAGATATAATCAAAAGAAATATTACAAATTCATTATATGAAGAACACATCAAATAAATTAAATATATTATACATACAAAATAATGTTAGATTGTTTAAAATTTTAAGTTGCCATTTAATAAATAATCCACATAGGAAAATAAACCTTAGATTGTTTAAATTTTTAAATTGCCATTTAATAAATAATCCACATAGGAAAACAAGGCTGCTTGTTATTTTCTCGATAATCATAAAACTTGCTTAAAATTCATATATTTATAAATGTATTGTTTATCATATCACTATGCAAACAATACTTGCATTCACTTTTAGACTTTTTACTACCGTCATGAATTCTACTGTAGACTTATGTAAGTGGCTATGGTTCCTGGGATGATTTTTTTTTCTTTTTCCTTTTCTAATTTTTTCTTAATTTTTTAGGGGATGGTCTTACAGTTCCAACAAAATTTAGCCTATTTGAAAGGCAAGGTGAGATAAAAGCATCATTGGATAGGAAACCAAGGACTGACATTGCTGCTTTTGAAAATGGAGGTGAGTTAAGTTATTATTGGTTGATTCTGAATATATCACCATATAATAAATGAGTCTGAATTTCCTCTCTCATAACTAATTTCATTTTTTCAAAATCTTTTCGAGATTTTTATTGTTGGCTTTGGGTAAGGAACTTGAGGCCTGGAATTGTATATAATCAGTTGCTGTAGATGAATCCCTATAGGAGAATGTCTGACACATGACATGCACTCTGTGAATATTTGTAGAATCAAAGATTTTATGTTTATAACAATTGAATGACTAGATGAATGGAGACATGTTTATAGAATTTACAGATGACTGGAAGTTAATATGCTGGATCAAGGAGCCAAATTTAACAAGGTAAACTCAAACTGTGATACACAAAAATTCTTGCATTTAAGTTCAAGATATTAATGGTAGATTTTCTTCAAGTTGGGAAAGACTTGACATGATACTGATTGCAAAGAAAAAAATTAGTGTTTTTTGTTGGCCACAAGGTTTAAATATGATTCAGTAATGGGTGTCAAGAACCAAATAGCTCAGGTAAACTCACACTGAATTATTAGGAGTAGCATAGGAAGATAATTAAATGTGGTAAGTCATTTAAAGTACTCAGTAGTGTCTGCCATCTAGAAAAATGCTCTACAAGTATCAACTATTATTACACTAGCTCCACTGATTTCTGTAATGGTAGTCCACATGTGTGTGCCATTTTAAAAGAAGGTTACTTGAAACAAATATTTTATGTTATGAAAGGGTAACTTGTATGGTGAAGAATCTGGGATTTAAGTATATAAGTAATATTTAAAGCAATTGTGGATATTTATCTTGGAAAATAGAAGAGCTTTAAGGAGCATAAAAATTGCTCTCTTATATCTGAAGATATTATATTGAAGATAAATTATATTTACTCTGAGTAACTCTAAAGGATGGTAAAGGGTAGAAGTAAAGATTTATATATGTTAAAGGAAAATTAATTGTGTTGACTATGTGAATATTTTTTGCAATTATCTCTATGTAAGTGTACATACTATATATATTCATGTACATATATTTACATATATTAATCTAAACATATGTGATATGTGTAGAGATGTGGGTGATTATCACTGAGAAGTGTTTAAATAAAACTGAGGAAAAGGTATACTGCAGAAAAGGATAATCTTGTGTTAGAAGATAGTTTTGTACAACGTTCTGCCACCATGGTCACTGACAGTAAGGTATTGTCATAGGAGGTGACTGTTATGTTCCACAGAGGATCATATTTCTTGGAGTAGATGAAAATGAAGGTTTAACAGAAGAGAAGGAAATCACCATGTCAAAATGTTCAAATAGAAAAGGTAATGAACCATCCTATAATTTTAATCCATTCATAATTTGGATAGATATGTTAAATACAAAACTTGACACTTGTAGAGACCAATAGTGAAGAGGCGAGGTAATAAATAAAAATATACATTAAATACAGTGAATAGGAGTCAAAAACTCTAAGGTTTCAGTCCTGGTCTGTCCCTCATTGTTTGACCATGAGACCATCTCTTTTAGCTTCAGTTTCCTTATCTGAAATATTGGCCTGTTGGACTACATAATTTCTAGGAGTCTTGCTAGCTCTATTGTTACTGGTTCTGTTAAATAGTAAAACCAAGTTCTTTAGTTTCTTTTTCCAACTTCAAATACTCAGTGTGATTGAATTTTCTTAGAAAGCTTTGTTTGTGAACACTGTGAAGAGTATTAATCTCATGACATCTATGACCTCCCCATTTTATAGTTATTACTAGTCTGTGAATAATCAAGAGATATGATAATAAAATCCATCCTTTATAGTTTTATATTCCCCTTACATCATGCGTAGAATCCCCCACCTGGTACCTCTCTGCTAGGCAGGCTCTCTCAGTCACAGACTAAAGGTATAGCTGTCCTGTAATTAGAGGGCTTTACGTATTCTCTATCCAAATATTAACTAATTTCATCTACTGTTTCCCCCCGCCATCAAATAAATGTTCTCAGAATAGGTTCAATGGGAACCAATCAATGGGAAATGACATGTAAGTCTCTTTTCCTCTCTCTCAGAGATGGAAACATTTTGCCCAATCTATCAAAACAAAAAACAAAAAACAAAAAAATTCTAACTACACTAATAACAGTTGCTACAATTTGCATTTGGCTGTTTAAATTTAAACTAAAATGAAATAAAACTTAAAAAATTCAACTTTTCACTTGCATTAGCCATGTTTCAAGTGCTCAATATCCACATGTGACTAGTGGCTATCATTTTGTACAGTACAAACCGAGACTATTTCCATCATTGTATAAAGCTCTTTTGGGCAGTCCTGCTCCAAAGCATAGAACACATGAAAGTTGTTACATTTAAATTATTTCTGGAACGTTAATTTAAATAAGCACATTTGATTTAAAATTAATAAACTTCTGGTTCTTTTATATGATGGTATTAAAAATATTGCCACAAATACATAATTTGTATATTGAAGATAATGTCTGTACATTGGATTTTTAATGCTTTGTTAGTGACAAATTTTGGGGACTCATTGTAGTGATTAGGGAATTTCGGTGATGAATTATAAATATTAATACACACATATATATTTTAAAGAGGTATGCCCATCATACAATGTTTGAAAAGTGAAATACCAACTGAAAGCTGCTTCTACTAATATTGACATTTTATTTTCTTAATTTGCTTTAAAAGACAAGGACAGTCCTCATCCAAAGCGCTCCTTACCTACCCGACTAGTACCTACAACGCATGTATTAAATGCTACTGAGAATATCAGTATGAAGCGCAGAGAGGACCCCTCTTCAAGTGAGACATTAGCTCTATCACTTTTTGGCCTTAGATATATTTGTCTTATCGTGGATGTTTTGCTTATTTGAAATAGAATTTTTAAAAAGAAAGAAAAAAAAGATGGTTTGAAGATTATTCAGGATTAAGAATTAAAAACAATATTCTACTAACTCTGACAAAGAATTGTGATGTAGGTCCTAGTAAATTATATACGTTCCCGCGAGTTTAACTTAGGTATTAAAATTAATGATATACTACCTTCTCGGAAGATTCATTAGGATAGCATTTTAAATTTAACTGATAGTGGGATACGTTGACAGGTTTTTACTATGTTTTGGATTATTTTGCATGATTTGGCTTTTCCAGGCCATTCGGTATTCTGAGCTACTTCTCTTACACAAGACTCATGAATCTTCCTTTCTGTTTCCTTCCTTCCTTCTTTCCCTTATTTCATTTCCTGAGCCCCTATAATGTTCTTGGATCCCAGCCAGGCATTGAAGGAAATCATGATGGTTTACTCCTAAGCAGCTTAGTTTAGTGACATTTGTTAAAAATACGGTTTCCAAATCCTGGGGAGTGGGGCCTTGAGAGTAAGGGTAGAGCATGATGTTTGGAGATGAGGTGGTGAATCAGAATTCAAACCTCACGCTTAAGCTGAACTTGAGAGCTAGGGCAAAGACAGATTTATTAGTCCACTAGAGAGAGCTAATGTAATCTACATAGTGAATTTGTTCGTTTTCTCTGTGCAGTTGTTACCTGTCAATGTTCAGGATCTCCACACATGAGAAATAACAAAGAATGCCCCTGTCTACTAAATTGTTTTAAGATTCTCTGGAGAAATGTCCCTTAGAAACTCCTAGAAAACTGATCTTGTACATAAATTTTTCAATGTAAAAATATGCAGTAAAAAATGAATTTAGTGATCTTAGCACTTAGAAATTCTGACTACTTAGTCTTGTTTCTCCAAACTAACTACACACCCAAATTCTTAAAACTTAAAAGAATAAAGTAATATTCACTAAAAGTATTTTATATTAATCCAATTTCTTAAGAAGTGATTTATGTTCAAAATAACAATTCTAAAACCACTTAAAAATAACATAATAAGATATATAGTTAATTTGGAATGTAATTTTATAGTCTTTTAAACAATTTACACATTCCTTTGGGGAAGAGCATTTTTTCCCTGAGGAATGCTACATATTGAAAATTTTCTTATCAATCAATTTCCAGGTTAGTTTTTTTTGGGGTGGGGTGGGGGGTGCTTTAAGAAATAAGTCACCCTTTGTTCTAGAAAGTAAAGTATTAGAGTAGTGCATTTATTTTTTTCTCTTGCTTGACATGTGAATGCACAGATATGTAATTATCACCTACAGTAATTTTCAGATGAAAGCATCTCTTAAAAAACTGTAAAAATTTGTATCTTCTTCAAGTGAATGATGTCCAGCCAGTGAGGAAGCCTCACTTTAAAGGTGTGAAAAAAAGAAAATGGATTTATGATGAACCAAAGAATTTTCCTGGCCCAGGAATGCGGAGAGGTAAAGTATCTACATATTCGATATTTCTAGATTATAATTTGCAATGGAATTAAGAAATCAAATATAAATTAGTATTTCCTACTCGAAAAACAAATTGCTGTTGTGTAACATGCTATTTTAGATGTCAACCCAACTCCTATAAATTTAGTTCTTTTTGCACACATTGCCTTCCATAGTGCTATCAAACATTTAACCTGCGGTATGTTATTTATGGGTATGATACCAGTTTGTTTTATCCCTCACTCCCTTCCCCCTTTCCTTTACAGCAGTACAGGCCCCAAATCCCAAAAATAAAATGAGTTACCATCGCAATAATAAAAACAGAAATGCTGAGAATGCATCCTATATCCACGTTCAGAGAGATGCTATCAGGACCGTCTCACTGAGTGCACCCCCCCGCAGCAGGCCCACAAATGGGTCCTACAATAAAGTCGATGTTAACAAGGAACCCAAATTCAGCCTCTGTCCAGGTAAAGCTCTTTTGGTATGTGATTTACTCATGTCCACGGTTTGCATCCCCATGGAATTACGTGATGGTCCAACTAATCTTCACCGCCACCCCCCACTCCCTGTTCTGTTTCCAGGCCTCGCCACACCAGGACATCTCAGAAAACTGGTGAGAGGATTTCTCCCATAAGCAGGAATGCACATAGTTTAAAGAATATGTTAGAAAACGTGTTGGGTGCAGACAACTAGACATTAAACCTCACTAGAGTTTTTTCTCATAGCACTGCACTTTGTCCCCCCTGGATAGCTTTATTTCACTCTTGAGGATTGTTTTCAAATGGTTGACATTTTCTTGTTCCAGTAACCGCATTGTTCAATCATCACATTCAGGCTAGTGCCTTGGCTTTTCTTTAAGCCTTCATGATTACTTTCTGAAAGGGTTAGTTTGGGGATTAACTGCAATATTTTTGACAACCTCTCATCTCTCCCACCATGCGCAGATTGCTCCTAAATTATTTCATCATGTAATAGGCAAAGTCATAGTATATGTCATTAAGTACAAGGCTACCAGGGAGGAGGGAACTATATCTTTTCTTCCTGTCTTGGATGAATTTTGTTCTTTGGAAATTGGGTTTCAGTTCTCTCAACTTAACACGAGGCAACTTAATTCCCTCTAATTTCATGCGTGTATTTTCTTGTGTTCCCAGTCTAGTTTGTGGGGTTCTGAATGTTCTGTACTTTCTGAAACATAAGTAAAACTTCAATGTCTCTCTTAGGTCCTTTCTTTTATAATTTAAATAGAAGTTAGCTTTCTTTAAATTGTATTTCTTCTATTTGTTTTAGAATAAAATGACATATGGATTTATATATAAAAATAAGGGTATTCTTGGATGATACAGTCTTATTATTATTATTTTATTATTATTTTACTGGGAGTGAATGGTTGTCTGGATTTGTGTTAAGGTGGTCACAGTTATGCTCACTATTGCTTTCGTGCCATTAGAGCAAATGTTAACAAGGAAAAAAAGCAAATAAATTCTTAGTATTATTATGAGCCACGCTTTGAGAACCATAGCTGCATAGTAGTACTTAAAAACACAAATACAACATTGTTAGATAATAGTTCAAATATAAAGTTGTCAGAGGAAAGTAGATATTAAAGAACCAAGTCAGTATATCAAGGCTTTGGTTTCCTGGGACAGTGCATTCACTATGGTCGAGTATTCCCTGCCATCATGGGAGTCACTTCATAGAAAGTAAAGGGAATTGGCGGTGCCTTCTAGATCTTTTCTTCTTTTTCTTTCTTTCTTCTATAAGCATTAGCAGAATTGTGTTGTATAGCAAGGCAATGAAGTATTTTGATCACATCCAGATATCATACTCTCCCGTAGCTTAGCCTCATGGGAAAGACCCTTATTTGAAGAACTTGACAGCCAGTTAAGAGGTGCATAATCATCCATGTTCACTGATAACATAAATGGTCTTTTTTTTTTAAGATTTTATTTATTTATTTGAGAGAGAGAGCACGAGCAGGGGTGGAGGGACAGAGGTAGAGGGAGACAAGCAGACTCCCCACCGAGCAGGGAGCTTGACACAGGGCTCCATCCCAGGAACCTGAGGTCATGACCTGAGCTCAAGGCAGATTCTTAACCAACTGAGCCACCCAGGCACCCCATCAAAAATGGTCTTAATAAACTCACTTGGGTCCCTGATGCCTTAGTTTTGAAATGCTAAAATAAATTACTTAGAGAACAGCTTCATCTCTGAGATATTTATAACTTTGAGACACTCTTGGAATATGAAGTTATAAAATATTTAATTCCTGTCTTCTTTTTTCTCAGATAAATATATGTCAACATCATATAATGGTTCAGCCTGGCGAAAAAGAATTCCTTTTTCAAAAACATATTCAAAAACTGAAAAGATATATACAGGTAAATATTTACTAGTAATTTTAATGTATCATTCTAAAAACAAATGACAAGTTTTTTTTGTTTGTTTGTTTTTTTCAAATGACAAGTTTTTAAGTTTCAAGGTCAGGAAACATATTTTAGAAAAATTTAGGAAATTTTCATGCTTTATGAACACAATTACTTGGAATTCAGTAGATATCTTGTCTACTAGCAATTTAATCTTACTTTGTTTTATTGTGTTCTCCTTTGCCTATTTTTATGTCATCAGAAATCTTTTGATATACTTCTATCCTTAGAGACAAGCAACAGTTGCACCAATTATATGTTAAAATTCATTCTTTGTTGAACTACAAAGCAAATATATAAAACCATATTTTGACACAAAATATTAAAGCCCTACTATATCCACCATGGACAAATATTGGCTGGTGCAGACTAACAGGGCACCTAAGATGAAGTTTCCAGGCCAGGAGGTTCTGAGTGACTATGGTGTCCCCCTTGTTGTGCTCTGTTCTCTGGGAGAGTATGGGAATCGGGAACCTCCCCAGGGTAGAGGTTTGAAGCAGACCTGACCTCAGGTGGTTCTTTTGCTAAAAAGCTTGATGTCTTCTCCAAGCTTATCCTGGGGCTGGCACAGTAGGTTTGGAAAACCACACAGGATAAAATGGTTTCAGTTACTCCAGAAAAATGAATCTTTCAGAAAAAGTTCTAAATAGGGAGTTCCTACTTACATCTTTAGCCTAGAACTTTCAGAATCATCTGAAATCTATAAACTTTTATATAAGAGCTTCCCAGAATGAACCCAAAGACATCCAGATTAGGAACTGTCCACTTTCAAAAAACAAAAACTGAGATGTTAAGTAGTATTTCTCAAAACTCTTGACTTTAACTATGAAGTCAGTTGCTTTTCTTTTTTTTCCCATTTCTTTCCAAATCATATGGTACTCTAAGAGAACTCTGCTGCCATGCTATTTCCTTGACTATATTTTCTCTGAGCTTACTCTGGGTTTTCACATGTGATTGTACTTAATTTTGGGGGGAAGGAGATGAAAAGTTGGTAGAAATCCTGGCTAAAACTACAATTGTTGAGCTGCACCTTTTGCTCCTGTGCTTTCCTTGTGGGTGTGATGGATTTCCCTTTGAGGTTTATAAAACTCTGAGCATAAGGAGGATCTGCATTGCACTTCCCAGATACAGCCAAGGGAGAAAAGCTTTGGAGAGAATTTAGCAGTGCCACGTATTGGTGGGAGTTGGGGGGAGTAAGCCATGTCTAACATGAGAGAGGGCTGGAGAAAGTCTCTTGGGATTCCCAAGCCCCACATTTGCTTGGGAAGGCATCACATATTCTTGTGAGTTTCAAGTGAGAGTGAGTTCCTAGGAAAGGGCCAGCGGGTCTACACAAAGTCTCCTGGCTGGGGCTGCAACCATAGCATCAGAAAGATGGCCTTTGTGGTTCGGTCCTATTGGAGGGGAGGACTCAACTAGAATCTCAAAAGATTGCTCTGCCAGGGAGCCGATTATAACCCAAATCATCCACTTGTTACTTATGACTTGAAGTGCTGTCTGAGGGCAACCAGTAACGACATAACCTGAGAGTTTGTTGGAAATGTGGAATCTCCATAGCAGACCTACTGAATTAAAATCTGCATATTAACAAGTCCCCCAGGTGATTGAGATGCACATTAAAGTTTGAGAAACCTTATGCTATGTTGTCTGGGCCACCATTCACCAGCACCGGACCCAGGCCATGTGGAGACCCATGATTGTTGAGATAATATTCTCTTCCTAGCTGTCACAAAGTGGCGATCATTCTCCCCTGTACCAACCCTAGAAATTAGGATAAGCAGCAGGGAGATGGGAGAGGGAGGGGGAAAAAAAAGTCCCGAGAAAGAATTTCAAATCTGAATGTGGTTGAAATACAAATGTGAAATAACTAAGAAATCACTGAATTGGACTAAGTCTATGTGCAAAGGACTAGATAAGTTTTCTATATCAGGCAAAATGGGGACTTAGAGTCAAGAAATTAAATAGAATTATAAAAATCGTTTTCTTACTTCCCTGGGCTTTTGACTGGGAAATTTGTAACCCCTAAATTCCTTTCCTTTCCAACTGTTGCTGTCATCATCAGACTAGAGAAAGATTAGCTTGTGTTTCCTGCCCCCTGCATTTCGTGCTAGGGCACAGAGGAGCGATTTCAGCATTTCCCAGGGGACAGATGGACTGCTGGAGAGAGGAAGCTGAAAGCACAAGCTGCCGCTAGTCTATTCCGCTAAGGAATATCTCAGAGCCAAGGACGTAGTCGTGTAAATGGGCGAGAGGAGCCTTTTGGGAAAATGTTGTCCGATGCTATAAGGATAATACAGCAGGAGAGGAAAATGTGTGGGAACCAACGAGAGGATTTGAAGGCGATTAGAGATGTCAGCCTTCCCTTGGGGCCAGATGTCCTTTCTGATAAGGATACAGCTGGTGTGACTGGAGGTGCCTATCTCTGTAGGATGGAACATTCATTCTGTTCATTCTGGGTGCAGGTACAGCCTTATATGTAGTATTATTTCCATCTCTTTTCATCCCTCCATCCAAATTCAAAACACAGTAAGCTTTGGAAAGAAATGGAATTAGTATGAATAGCACTTTGGAAAATCTATGAATTAAACAATGAGCTTAGGTTTTGTTTTGCCTTTAGATGTATGGTAAGTAATTAGCCCAAGAAATGCAGAACGTTGGTATCTTGAAGAATGCCAAAAAAGAAAATAATTGAAGTATTTTGTGTGTTTTATTATTAGAGCCAAGAAGAAATGGGAGCAAGTAAATCTGGAGGTTGAGAGAAGAGGAAAAATGAGAAAAGAGAAAAGTGCCAGATATCATCTGATTTACAATCAAAAATGAAAATTCAAAGAATGAGATATTTCAAGTACTCCATACTATATACTGGGTAGCCAAAGATGATAAAATGCAGATTCTGAAAATAAGATGCAGGAAGTACATTGTGCTGTTTCAAAACTGATAAAAATGCAAATTACAAACAGCTGCCTGTGTATTTATATAGGTCTGGAATTCATTCAATGCATTGCCACAAACATTTAATAAAATTTAAAAGTTTGACAATTAAAATCATTCTTTAATTGTAAGCTAAGTTAGATTGCACAGACTGAGAAATGAAACTGTGTCTTTGATCTCTGTTTTGCAACATTCTTTACAGAAGAAACCTCCCATTTTCTTTCTTTACCTAGATTTTAAGCTGGGCCCTCAGTGTTAATAACAGATAAAGTGCAAACAAATTCAATGAAGTCTCAGGGTTACATTTTGGTGATGAGTATGTTAGAGGAATTCCAATAGAAATACACTTTGATGTGTTGTAAAAAGAAAAAAAAATATTGGTTTATTATGCAGGGGAGTGCTGAACAATGTCTTTTAATTGGCAACTACAAAATCTACCTGCTGAGATGTGTGAGATTCAAAGCTGAAAAATAAACATTTTCTTACCAAGAACAGAAAAATTATATGAATATATTAAAGAAAAGGATTTGTAAAAGAAAAAAAAAAGTGAGTTAACAATGTGATGTCTCAAAAGTATGGGAGATTTTAAGGCTTTAAGTAACTCTAGAAGTATAAATGCTTATAATTGAAAGAGAGACATCATTTGAAATCTTATTTCCATTTTCTTTTGCATTTGTTTAGAATAATAAATTTTTAATTAATTTAAAAAAATTCATCTGCAGAATGACTGAAACAAGAACTTAAAATTGAGAATTTATTCTTCAAACTCAAAGACCAGTATGACAGCAATATTTGTGATTGACCTTTCAAATGCTGTTTTTGTAAGTTTGTAGCATTTATACTTCTGAGTTTATTAAAGCTCAGAATTTCACTAAGACTTTGTGACACCTTGTCTTTATATTTACACACATCTTGTGGTTATTAGTCACCTCTTATTCAATATTTATGGAGGGGTTCATCAGAGTGTAAGTTTAGAAATCTTTTATTTTTAAAACATTTTATAGATGTGATTCCAGCTTGTGGAGTAGTAAGTCCTGTGCCTATGAAAGATAAGGATCTTTTTTCAGGGCAGCTTTCAGATAATTTATGTGATGTGTGAGCTAGGAATTCAAGATCCTTGCCTCTCAAGTGTTCGTGAGTATACAATGGTGATATTTTGTGTATTTCTAGTGCCATATCACACCATGAATGATCAGGGCTCTCTTTACTACTAAAAATAGAGTCATTAGAGTCTTTAAATCTAATCAGATTAGACAGCAAATTCCAGAAATCCCAGAACCAATTCAGAAGACTCATCTTTAGATTCTGTTCCTATAGAGTCACTCTTAGTACCAAAATCTGTGTTAGGATTCTCCAAAGAAACAATAAATAGAGGATATATATATATAATTTTTAATATATTCATATTTTGTATGAATATATATTTTATATATAGATTTATTTTAAAGATTTGACTTGAGGCTTGACAAATCTCAAATCTGATGGAGGAGGCCAGCAAGCTGGAGACTCATTGGAATCTGAAGGCAATCTGATGGAAAATTCCTTTTCACTTGAGAAGGTCAGCCTTTTATGCTATTTAAGATGAGGCCCATCCATATTATGGAGAGCAATTTGCTTTACTTAAAGTCCACCAATTTAAGTGTAAATCCCAACTAAAAATATCCTTACAGAAACATCTAGAATAATGTATGACTAAATATTGGGGCAATGTGGCCTAGCAAAAGTGACAAATTAATTAATTAATCTCCATGGATAACCTCAGATAGTCTCACTATTTTAGGGTGAGGTGAGTAGCAACCTTAATTCCCCTTTGCCATATACTCTAACGTATTCATAGATTCCAGGGATCAGGGTGTGGGCTTCTTGGGGCATCACTTTTCTGCCTACCACAACTACCTTTCCTTATGCACAATAAAACTAATAGTTGTTACTACATAGCAGGCACTATACTACATGAAATAACTCATAGAAACATTAGTACCCCAACCCACAAAAAATAAACAGAGGAGTTATTATTGCCCCCATTAATGAGAAACTTAGGCACTGAGTAGTCATATAATTTGTAAGTGACAAAGGCAGGATGGGACCATCTGTGCCTGTGACTCTAGCCTATTCTCTTCACTCCACTAGACTGGTTAAATATCTGATTATACTTCTTTTCCTCAGGGCCCAACTTACTCCAAAGCCACTCTGGACCACTCTGGGCCAGTGATAACAACTTCAGAGTCATGACAGTAAAACTCATAGTCAAGGTTTCTTCCCCATGACTGTTTTTTGGCCCTTCCTTAAGAGTGGTAGAGCTATGTTGTTCATATCCATGTCTTTTCCTCATAAAATAAGGAAAAAGCAAATATCAAACTACGTATATTGTATTACATTTGAGTTTTCTGATAACCAAGGCAAGAAAGAAAACACAGTTACATCAGAAAATGATAATGGTGCCCCCAGGACAATATTTTTTTTTTATAGTACTACATTCTAAATGCAATTTATTTTGTGTAAACATAACTGTAATTGTGTTAGTCCATTTGGGCTGCTATGACAAAATACCATAGACTAGGTGGTATTAAACAACAAACATTTATTTATCATAATTCTGGAGACTGAGAAGTCGAAGATCGAGGCACCTGCAGATTTGGTGTCTGGTGAGGGTCCACTTCCTGATTCATAGATGACTTCTTGCTATGTCTTCACGTGGTGGAAGGGAAGAGGGAGCTCTCTGGGGTCCCTGTTGCAAGATCACTAATCCCATTTATGAAGGCTCCACCCTCATAACCTACTCACTTCCCAAAGGCCCCGCATGGGGGGTTAGGATCTCCACATATGAATGTGCGGGGTTGGGGGGGGAACACATATTCGGTCTGTAGCAAGAATTCACTCAACACATGTTGAAAGAACACCCTCTGCGGTGAAGCTGTCTGCTAGATCCTATAGATACAAAGATAAATGAAGTCTTTCCCTCTAAATGTTTCTCATGTCATGCAAATAGTGATTTAAGCATTTATATAATATGATGTGTGCTGTACAAGAGGTATAGAATAGGTGCTATGGGAATATAGAAAAGGCATGCTTCACAGATATTTCAAGTGAAAATCTAGCTTGGTATTGACTAGTCACAAGATCTCTCAAATATTTCCTTGCTGCTAGCATTCCTTCTTATGAGCAGGAGTGCCACTGCATAAAGTATTGGCCTGTACCCCATACTGGCACCACTGTGGGATAAAGGATGAACTGTTAACTTTTCAGGAGCAGTTACCTTCTGCTTTAGGTTGGAGAGAAATTCTTTTTGCTCTCCAGAGAGGTGTTGCTGAGAATACCAGTTTTGCAGTGAACTTTTTTACTTGGACACACACCTACATTCCATTATGCAATTATATTATGCATAGTGATTAGCTTATTTCTTCTATTAGGTGATGAATGTTTTCAAGGAAAGAACAGTCTCTTTCCTTCTTTATATCCGTTCCATCTGGCATACAATAGTCATTTAATATTTGTTGAACACTCTAATACCTATCTCTGAGGTTCCTTTTCCTTGCCTCAACCAGTACAGACCTTAACAAAGGAGTGAGGGACAATTGCCAAGATTTTTATGTTTTGAAAGACTTATACTAGGCAAGGACTCTGCAGGGCCATGGAGACATATCTATATGGAGACATGCTCCTCCTTCTAGAGTATGCGCTAGTATCACAGATGCCAGATTTCACTGCTCAAATCATCTTGAGCCTATTTCTTGGGCTATATGGGTCTCTCCCCTAAGACAGAACTCCAAAGGGTCCTTGCTGTCAAAGGGTTGGAGAAGGGGAAGCTATTTTCAGGGTGTTGATGGAAGTGGAGACTGTGAGTTGTCCTGTCCATACATGTGTATGGGGTCTTTTGAACATTAGGACATAGGAGGGAAGGGGAAGAAAAGAGGGATGCATCTTGTTCCAGGAGACTGAAGCTCTTCATGCTTCCAGTTTCCGGTGCAGAATTCTGAATTGTCCCAGAATTCTAAACACAAACCTGATCTTCTAGTCATTATGTGGGGTTGTTAGCTTAATTTATAACTTTAAAATACTTAAATATATGACATGTGGATCTCCCTATCTACTCTTGTTCCTCGCTCTGCAAATATTGGGGATAGTCTCAGCCCACTTAGCACACACACGCAGAAAAGCAACAGTAGCAGGTGGGATCTTAACACTAATAGTTTCCTTCTTTATGCAAACAGTGGACAGAACAAGAAAGTCTACTAGCTGTAACAGGAATCTGGCCTTTTGCCAGAGATTTGTCATTACAGTGAAAAAGCCAGGTTGAGCAGAAGGATTAGTGCTAATTATATTTTCGAATATATCTCAGATGGAAAATGTACTGGACAAATATGTGATCCCTAAATAATTTCTAATTCCTTGATTCTGCACCGCCTAGGTAATTCAGAGGCTTATTGTAGTGTAGAACTGTTCTGGATTTTAAGGAAGCCTTGGGCAAAACCAGAAGCTCCGTGCCCCATTCTGTGAACAGTAACGCATACCTTTGCTCTTTGCTATTAACCAAAGAACGACTTGGGAAAGTTATTCAGTCTTGTTTAGTCTGTCTTCTACTCTTTAATATTAAGAATCTGAAGCAAAGTAAGCCTAAGATCTAGCTAGAATAGCTTCATAGACAAAGGCAGCACTAGCATCTCTTAAGTGGTCATATTTTCTCCAGTATTTTCATGCTTTTTTGTTCCGGTATTACATTATTAATTGTTGTAATAATAAGATGATAGAATTTAGTATAGTGCCTAAAAACAGTAACTACCCAGTAAATTGTAGCTTCTATGAAAACATAATTCATTGTAAAGAATGAAAATACAAATCTTCAGTTTCCAGCAATATGGTAAAATATTTATTCAGAGAACAGCCCTTTCTGTAAGAACATACCTAAATATGCCACCTTTAGAAACAACACAATGTAAAACAAAAACATCTCCTTCAGTGCATGTCTGAGCAGGAAGGAAAGAAAA